CCGCAATTTCCATTCAGTTAAGCACCCATCATGATTAAAATTGGGAATGTGTTGAGTCAGAAAGTAAAGAGCTTATTGTAACACATCAAGACTCGCTGACATCAAGCTACAGGGTGGTCAAAATTTAAATGCATTGCCAGACTTTTTTAAATGGCATTAGTTGTGGGAATTTGAATCTATATGTAGGAGCCAATTACTTTCCAATTTATTAAATTAATATTTATAACCGCTTGGTAAAATGTCGAGATATTAAAAAAATTTCCAAATAGGCTGTCATTATTTATGGTATTTTTTGTGGAGTAGAGTTCTTGTGTGTGATCTCATTTATTAAGCCTTTTGGATGCTAGTGAAATTTTCCATCGTCCGGTCTCCTTGTGATTTTAAGAAACCTTAATTTTTTTCATTTTGAAATATTCATTTATTACCAACCTAACAATAATCATAATCACCTTCTCCTATGAGCTGTCATTCGCAATGGCATGACTTTCTGTTTTAAAGGAAATGTTTGAGGAAGGAATTCGTGTTACGGTCTCACCGGAAAATGAAGAAGGATTATCGTGAAGTGAAGAATGTTGGAATCTACGAAGAAGTCTGCGGCTCACTGCCCTGAGACCCCGATGAAAAGTAAAGTATGGGTTCTTACTCTTGATGTCTGTCACAGTTCAGACGAAAGCTTAGCACATATTCAGTGGGGTCGCAGGATAGTGAAACGGACATTGCTTCGCACAATCCAGCAGTCTTCAGTCCGCGAAAATCATCCTTCGGTTTTCGATAAGACCATTTCACTACTTCCTATCAACCAACCCTTATTTTATCTTACCTATTTTATGAACACTTGCATATACCAATATATAGTCATAATTCGAAAAATATTATCTTGCTTTATGCTTAGTCTTCACACAGATATTTGTTCCATACCCTCATTTTCTCACTTTTCCCGGGCATTTTTCCAAATTTACCTTCCACCTTGTCCTTCAACAGCAGTAGATAGTCATTATAATGTTAATTAAATCAATCCAACAAGTTTTCGTTACGACTCTTATCTTCTTGGCCCGCCTATCGACGTACACTATGCTCTAGGAATAATTTTATCCCTCCCATTTATCTCGTTTTACAACTCATTTTTATCTGCCTCAGCTACCTCAACATGGAGACTTATGGTCCTGTTATGTGGACTTTGAGACGCGCCGAATGGACAGTTGGGAGAAGAAGTTAATCCCTTTTCAATACAACAAAGAGGAGCAATTCTTTAGTATGATTGTGCCAACGCAGGATACAGTTCGTTTTGGCTATCTTTTTGAAAAGCTGCTTGCTGCAGAGCAGAGTGTACTCTTCACTGGTGGCACAGGTGTGGGAAAGGTTAGTTTGCAAGTTGTGAGATTTATTGCACTGGGGTATGGCTTGGTCCTTCTGGCTCCCAATGGTGCTGGATGACAGTCGTGCTGACCATTCCACATTTGATTGAAGCACCTATTGTGATCATATTGTATTATTAGAGCTCACATTTTCGTTATATTTGCTTAATAATCATAATATTCTAATTCTGGGATATGAAAGTAGTAAACACATCTAAGCATTAGAGAAGATAATTATATTAAATATATGAAATAGCCCATCTTTTTAGATAAAATTTCCTTTAAAGTGTGATTCACTGACTAGACAGTATTCTAGATTATGACATTTTTCACAATTTTTACTATATCGCTTCGAGTATACTAGATAAGCAGGTTTCAAAACTATTAGTAGGTCTTTAAGAAATATTCCAGTCTTTTTAGGTCATTTTGGATTAAATAAGTATAGCAGTTGAATTTTCCACAACAAGATAAACAAAAGCTTTAAAAATACTATTGAATTTTATTGAGTCTTACCTTATCCTCCAGGCTGAATTTTAGCTTTGACTTCTCCTGTTTCTCAATAGCACACTCAATGTTATTCGAGAGCGAGTTTTACAAGTCAAACAAGTCAAAGTTATCACTTTGTCACACAAAAGTGGTTGCCAGTAATTCACTGGAAATTCAAGCTCTCCCAATTCACTTATATTGTGAAACTATTTCAGATAAAACAATTTTGTTTTAGCTATTTCAATCAACGAAATTACTATATACCTGACAAGTATGTTTCATTAGATCTTGAAGATGAACCCAGCATGCTTTTCAATGCCTACCGCTCTCATCTGGAGAAGGTAGAGGTTTATAAGTGGTGAGAGCATGAGATTTCATGATCCTGAATAACTTCAGGATTTTAAGGTATAACTATAACAACCACATCGAATTTTAGTCTTTTTCATTACTTTTGGTCCATTTAGAGTCGTTGTGGATTCAAATTTGAAGCCTCTGTGTGGCATAGGTTCATACGTAAAAGTATCAAGGAGTAGGATTCATATTGTAAATCACGCTTTTTAAGATATTATTTTTCAACTGGCTAATCAGTTTCATTCTAAAATGGAGACCATTTATGGTTTGCCTAGCAGGTTGCCACAGTCTCAAGTCACCGTTCTTATCTCTTGGTTGATCCGTAATGAGATTCTACCGCCATGTAGAAGACAGCTTCGTAACAGCAATGCATTTTGAATGCGTTCCAACAAGTCTCCACAAAGAAGATAGTGTTACGTGGATTTTGGTGATGTCAACTTAAAGCTTCAGAGAAAAATGGTGAAAATAATGTAAAATAATAATAACACTAAAAGCATAATAAAAACAAACGGAAGCTAATGTACAGGTCAAAGACCCTCTTAATTCACTTTTTGAGAGTTCATTAAATGAGATGCCATACCACACATTTTGAAAAAATGAACTTAATATTTATTGCATAATCTATTTTACCTACTTACTAATAATTATAGTGAGTAAAAATCCCTTCTTTGCTTTATACGTTTACTTGACAAAAATGTTTGCATCCTCCCTAAACGAAAGGACATTAAGACTTTGGCACGCCAGGCCTACTTGGGACCTAGGACTGTTGAATCTGACTCGATGGATTTCAAGGCAGGATGGTGAAGAAATGGGAAATTTGAAATTAAAGAGAAAAATAGTTCCAACTTCCTCCTTTTAAAGCTTATTTTTATATGAAAATTCAATGAAAGTCTTGAAGTTAGTAAGCTTAAGATATCCCATTATCTGATCATATACTCCGTTATTCTTGTCACTATTTAAAATAATGACAAGATAATCGAAGGATTGAAAATCCATAAAGCATGTCAGGTTCCAACTGACACGGAATACTCAGAAGTGAAGGCTTCCAATTGAAATGCAACTACAATTTCTTAAATTGTAGTTTTTCGACTGGAATGTTGCCTCAAGCTGAGTGGTCCTCATTGCACAGTCCTCTTGCAAGGCTCCATTTTCAACATATCAACCAAATTGTTTTCTTGACAATCGAGCAGTTAGAAATATTCTCTATTTCTACTATGTTTCTTTTTTATGGCTAAGTAAGTTAGACTTGAAGAGCTCCAAGTAATCTATATGGTGGCCCAGTCAAGCCCATACATATCTGGGCACTGAACAAGCAATCACCCTTCGAGTTCCTATAAAAGTGTTACTCAACACCTCATACGAAACAAAGTAG